CTGGATCACACCAAAGTCCATGGCTAAAACACAGCCTGAATAACTCCTCTAAATAATAAGAATAACATCCTTCTACACAGCTACAAAGATGTATGCAGCATCTGTCTGTCTGTAGTTTGTTGTAATAGGACATTATTTTTTATATTTACTAAATTAGGCAGACGTACTACAGTACTTACTCAATTATAAAGAGATTATTGGGAGAATGAGAGATGAGGTCCTCAGTGCTTGCCCTAACACAATACCAGTCATCCCAGTAGCACTTACCAGAGGCCTAACATGGCTACTGTAGTCAGTCCAGTGAGCTAGGACAGGAGCCATCATATGGTCAAAACTTGCAAGAAAATAAAAAAAAATAGTTATCTATATCGTTATAATAAATACTTAATCAAGTGAAGAAAATGAAAGGTCAGGTTTCTACCTTATATAGAGTAAAGTATAAGTATAAGTATAAGAGTATAAGAGTAAAGTATAAAAAAAGTATTTTACTTCTTCCCACTCATGGTGATAGAACAGCATACAATGGGTTTTGAATGTACTATAGCTACAGTACCTGTGTCAGGGATTGTGATTAGGGGTTTTCAGGAGCAACAAGCAAGTAAGGAATCATAGAAACAAAGTTCACATTACAGTATATTGATTTTACAGTCAAGTTCTTTTGCCAGGCGTTTTACTCCAAATTGTCACATTGTCACATTGCATGATCATTTAGAAAAGCTTAGCTTTAACCTGTGCCTGGTGTGAATTGGAAATTCACACGTACTGTAAATGAAGGTAAATTATACTATCAGGAGTGCAATACACAGTCAAAATATCAAATGATGTGGAAAATAAAAGAAGTAAAAGTAAATCTGAGAGCCTCACAAAAGTGCAAAACACAAACTGTTCATTTGATTAATGGATTTCTGGAAATCCATTCTTCAATTTCAGCACCTGATGTGATGAGATAATTGCCCACATCTTGCAAAGTGAGGCAGAAGCCACTGTATTTAGTGCCCCTCTGCAGCAGGCTGCTGGTTGGAATCCAGGCTTTGTGTACTTGTGTAGTTAACTCTACCAAAGCTGGGCTGAGTGTAACGGAACTAGGCAGATGATTAGGCTGCTGTAAAACAAACGTGTCTGTCACTAGAAAAGGTACAGGTATTGTGCCAGTGACTACATATGTTATGAGGTCCTAAAGTCATCTTGAAATTGCCTTTACAATGGCACTTTCTTCTACTTCACAAAAAACAAAATGTTTTGCCACAGATATGTTCTCAGAGGAAGCATACTGTACAGTATGTACTGGACTGTCTTCATCCTTGTCTCGTTAGCATAGATGAGGATTATATTTTGTAACCACTGTCAATTCCAAACTGGGAGGACTAAAAATTAAATTTAACCTTATATTCCAACAGCATCTCTTGCTTGTTAAAGATGAAATGCGTTGTAGAGTTAATATGAAAAAAAATATTTTCGAGTATAGGTCTAGCAATGGAAAACCACAATTAAAACAAAAGCAAAAAGAAAAAAATACTGTTTTACATAATGAACCCTGTGATTTTGTTGGCACCAATCAGTAATTTAAAGGGAAAGTCTCATCCACTATACTAACCTGAAAGGCCCTTTTCATAATTAACTTTGCAAAGTTTAATAGAAGTCAAATACGAAAAGAAAGAGAAAAAATACAGTGCAACCAGCTGTCTCTGAATTCCCCAGAGTCATTCTGACTGAATATTTTACCAAGTAGAAGGGTATGTGCATCATGAGGTGCACCAGGCAAGCTGGCAAGAACATTTGCCAGATAATCAAAAATATCTTCCTCAATTAAGGATTGGACATAAATGCATGCAGGAACAGGCATCAGCTTTCTGAAGATTTAAGTTTTAGAAATTATAATGTGGTGTTAAAAATAAAACTGTGAGCTCTATCCTGCTCTTTCTATAACTGGAAAATTGAAATATACCGTAGTACAACAGAAAAACACAGTAGGTATCAAATTTAGAACAAGCATACATTGGAGAGTGAGTATATTTTAGAAGACTTCAAGAAATCTGGGCTATCTGAAGAACTTTTTTAGATGGAAATAACCAAGCATTTCTATACATCAAGAGCTCATAGGAATATTAGTTTGTAAACCACACATTAATTGCTGATAATTGACAGTATAAAAATGTTAATGTAATATGTGACTTTTTCATTCCCCTTGCTCCACCTGACAGTGGAGACACCCTGTATTGTTCTCATTAAAATATTAAATAAGCATCTCAGTTTAAGTGTTGAGTTCAGTGTATATTTTGTGCAGTTCAGTTTGGATTTTTTAAAAAAATCTTCATAATTATTGTTATGGTTATTTTTATTATATCCTGGATTTAATCAACATAAGCAGTCAATTTGTTAACCAGAGTAATGGTTGACATATTCTGCATTAAAGTGGGTTATTTGCTTTCTGAAACTGATATTCAAAAGAGAAGATAACAAAGTAAAGAATTAGTGTGGATTCATTATAGATTCTGCAGTAACTTCTGAAGTAAAACACCACATATGAGCAAAAGATTGCAAGCCTGGAGTTAATTAGGTAATTTACACCTGGGCATCAGATTCAATTGAGCTTGAAAAAATTGTAATGAAATGTTACATTGTTTAAAGAGTTCCTGGAGGAATGATACTTTAATTGATTCTCCTGTGTGTCAAAGCAGTGGAGAAATGGGAACTAAGAAGTGCTAAAACTGCCAGTGTTTAGCACATGTTCTGAAGACTGTGATCTTCCTTGCAACAATTGATAATGCAACACCATCTGTGCTCCTAGGCTTTGAAAACACAAGAATGATTAGCTTGTTATGCTTTTATTTCATTACCCTATTGTGTTCAGGTGTTTACCAAAAGCAATGTGTTTTATATTACAGAGATTTATAGTTCAACGTGTGTTATAGAAACGTAGCAAAAAAATTCAAATACAGAAGCAAAAATATTAAATTTTGGGCCTGCGAAATTGTAATTGTCTCAAAACTCATTACTTTTGTATGATATCCTACTACTAGGCTCTACAGGAATTAGATTACGTTCAAATGTTTTTGCCCTTTTGATATCAAGGTACTGTATGCTGTACTTTGACAGGAAAACAACAGCAATCAACAAAAAATGCCTGTAATCTCCAGGTCTCTATCTTGGGACTCTTCCTTTCATGTCCAGATAAGAGATCATGCTCCATTTAACTTCCTTTGAATAGTCCCAGGTTGCAACCCATTAATCAGTTTAATCAATGTACAGTACTGCCTTTTAAAAGGAGCTTTGTTTGATTTGACATTTACTCCTGAACCTAGGTATCTGTTTAATTATCAAATATTACCTTGCATGGATGCAAGTAAGCTGAAGTGAAAATGAGATGGGTCTAATTGGTCAGGAGGCTTGTATCTGCTCATATTAAAATGTTTTGCATGCATTTTACTGTGATAATGCTGGATATAGACAATTTCCAAAATGTCATTCTTTTGTTGTTCAGCCACAGAATACCTAAACATTAGCTGGTGCATAACATTGTGCATAGAACATGTGTATGTGAATCAATAGCTTGTTTTACATTGTATTTTCAAAGGATCTGCTGAGACAATTTTGCTACACGAAGTCTGACTATTTTAGTTTATAGCAAAATGAGTTTACAGTTTTTTTCCCTAATCATGTAGTGTGCTTCCTGTATTTGCTGTTACAAAGGTTTTGAAATGTAAGTATCTTGTAGCATAGTTCCTAAGGGATGTTAAATGATTTAACATAAGATCAAGGCTCCATTTCTAAGCAGCAATATTGTACTGTAAATGGAAACCTGGGTAATCCTGTAAACTTAAATCAAATTGTTTAAATCTGCCTTTACACAATACCCAAAGGTGGAAACCTTTTCTGCTTGTCACTTAGTTCTCAGAACATGTTAATTCAGTGCATTCTTGGAATGTGAACACCTGTCTGCAATACTTCCACAAGGAGTCATGTAAAACGATGACAGACACCACAGTACACTGTACTGCATTTGTAGCTACTCAAGCATTTAAGACAGAACCATATTGTTTTTTAAACGACCAGCAGCTCTGTAGATTATGCTTGTGGAGGAATAACTTGAAGCTCTATGTGCAGCAGTAATTAAAGCACACGGTAGTGTCAAAGATGTAAAACAGTGACAAATGGCATGAATTTGAATAATGCTGATTTTATAGTCTGATTATCCTTACACTGTTTAGGAATAGTGCTTTATGGATTTGCTTGTCGTGGTATCTAAATCTGTTTCTCGGCTTCCTCAGCTCTGGATGACATTATCAGGAAAAGAGACAAAGAGCTTCATACCTTATTTCAATTTCAGTTTGCTAATGAAAAATATACATTTAGTGAATCCAGTAAATCCAGGATAAGCTCTTTATTTAGTGGAAAAAGTGCTTATAATTTCTATTGTATCTTGAAGGACTTAATGTTGCAAATGCAAGTTTACTGCCTTTATATAATTTGACCTTCTGCTTGACTCAATGCCAAAAAATATTGATGATTGTGTAATCAAATGCAAAAGATTCCCTTGTATGTGGTAGAGTGGATCAGCAGCCTTTACACATAAACCAGTTTACATTTGATGGAACTTAATATTCTAGAAATATTTTTATTTAACATACTGTGATACACACATGAGTGTGTTATAATGGGAATCTTTATAAAATAGGTGGGTCCAGGCCAACAAACACACCACAACATAGCCATTAGGTTCAAACTCACCAGTGCAATTGATTGAAAATGCAGGGAATTGAAAACACCATAACCAAATAACAAAACAAAAGCCTAAGCTCTTCATCAAGCTTCTGCCTAAACTTTTCAAGAAGCCTCTGTCTAACACAGTCTGAACAACTAAACTGCTTTCCAGCCAAAAATAAATTTTCAAACAACAAATGTCTCCAAAACAGTCTCTCGGACTCTTCTCAAACGTTTAAGATAAACAAAGTCTCTCCCTCCAAGACTCTTCATAAAAATATCCAAAAACATTTCCAAACCTCCAGTTCTTGGCCAGTCCTTTTCCCGGTGAGTGGTGCACACTGATGGATTCAGCCTTCTGCCCCCATTTACTCTCCCAGCCTTACCCAGGAAGCCTCTGTTTCCTGCAACGGGTCAGGTGACGGAGAGCCGCGGCTTATTCCCCCAGTGTAATCTGGGGAATGTGGTCCCTGTCGGAAAGCACAAGAAGCCTTATTAAATTTTAGACAACCTGTCTAACTTTCTGATATACTGTAACTAACTTTCTTCACCTTTTATGAAATGTTTCCAATTTCAAGGTGGTTACTATCAAACCTTTTTTGGTGTTCCAACCGCTGTAGTGTCTGGATAATCAAGTTCATAAACCAACACCCTTGTACATACTGTACTGTAGACAGAACCCACTAATTCACCCCATGTGAGAATTGCAACATTCCGTGCAATTTTTCTTCACAGGAGCAACAATTTAAAATAAATTGAGTCTCTGAGGCTTTGAGGCCCAGTTTGTCAGCATCTAGTGGAAGTTCCACAGTTATTATTTCCCTCTATCTCAGGCTATCTGCCACATAAATGAACTGTATTTTACATGGCAGGTTTTACACCTGAAGCCAATCAATATGAGTTTCGCCATTGTGATTTGAGACCCAAACACAGCGCTTCTGAGGAATAGGCAAGCATACCATACAGACATACAGAACAAATGCCTAATATCCAGACATTCCCTGAAACACATTCCCTACAAACCAATATCATACAGTACAACACTGGAAGGTAAATGGAAGGAAACAATCAAAGTCCAGTTGTACCAAAACATGACATGTCTCTAGTTACTTAATAATTCTATTTCTGCATTATGAGACTATGAGATTATGAACGTTGATAAAATATGACATGAAGCAAAACTAAAACAGCAATTTTCTTATCTACTTTCCTGTTACAGTTTTGTAATGAAGTAAAACAATCAATGTGGGGATACAGACATAAGATTGGTAATGAAAAAAGAGCATTATGCTCTTCTTATTCAATTTACAGTATTGCTAGTAGCTAACTGATATGAGGATCTTAGCCAGGTGCTTTGTGAAGCAAAAACATTCCAAAAATTATATTATTTTTCTAGTGCCCTAACTTTTTTATTGTTGTTTTACCTACTGTAGGACTGTAAAAACCTGTGTCACAATGTGTTAGACTGTACAATATAAATTCCACAGTCTTTATTACACCTTCTCCCAGTGACATCGTGCTGTTTCTTAAGAGAAAACAAATGAAAAACATTAATAAAATTATTTTCAGCTAATCATCCAGTGAAAAACGTGTCATGAATGATCTGTCTTGATGCAGTTCTGAGATGCAAAGCCTGTCATCCTTTTCCAGGTTACGAAATACCATCCCCCCACATCTCATGCAAGCAAATGCTCACCTCCTGTTTGACTAAACAAGCCTGTATGGTTTATCAACCTCATCTCCAATGCTGTGGCCATGCTGTGTGAATTTTCCTTTTTGATTCCCCTAACAGTTCCATTAAAAAGGCAAAAGGAATTGCATTGTTTGAAAAATCCGTGCCATGCATGACTAAGAAAGAACTCCCTTAGAGAGCTCTCATTTCATACATACTGTATATTGATTCATATTTTGATTGGTATAAAAAAAAAACTATTGTAGGAGAGAAAGATCCATCTTATTCTTTGTCCAATTGCTGACCCAAGTACAGAACATGATTTTTTAAGAACTGGTACTGAACCTATGAAAATTCCTCATGTCTGTTCACTGTCTTGTGTGTTTCTTATGCATTACTTTTTATAGATTTAATTGTGTAACTTAAAACAAGAGCAATTGAAGAAAGTTAATTCCTTGAATTGAATATACACTCATAAAAGTGTAGTATGGTACAGTCTACATGATGAAAGTTGTCAATTAATAAAGTAATAAAGTCCATGTAATCATGTACTGTAGGTTAACGAGATATGAAGAATTATGGAAAACCATGACAGTAAATGCAGAGCAGAAGCATGGTAAAACTATTCAAAAACTTGCAAAGGACAAGATTTCATGAGGGAAAGAGGTTTCCTGGCTGGTGAACAGAATCATTCACTTTTTTCAAATTCACTTCAATTTCAGATTTCCATTTGAAATTGAATGCCTAAAGATGTCAAAGCACTTATAAATTAGGCTAAATGAATGCTTGACAGTTCCATACAGGATGATAGAAAGTACCCTTCAAATTTAATAACGTCCCATACAAACGAAGGACATACTACACAAAAGTCTCTTAATTACCTGGTTGAGCAGACAGACAAAGATCTAAGATGGTTTAATTCTATTGAGAAGTAACAGAAGAGTAGCAAGATGAGAAATTCCATAAAGTATGCAAAACTAATTTAAAAAACCTTTGAGAAGAAGTAAGCGTCACTTCTGAAACAAATGAACTTGGACAGCTATTTATTTCAATTGAGATGGAAATTCAGACCTTCAAAGTCACCCAACTTGTCAGTTTTAAGCCAAAAAGATTTATGACCAACCTTCCAAATATAGGGAGTGCATTAAGAGGGGTGCAAGTCAGGGACTCTTGTTTCATTACACTTTATTGTTTTGGGGTTTGTTGTGTTGAAGATGGGTAGGTTACTTTTGAGACTGCAAGGTGAATTTAGCAGTTGGACAAACTCAGCCCAAGGAATCCAAAAAGAACCTCCTTCTTTTCCAAGTGGTTTGGAATAGGTTTTGACACCATCAGATCCTATAATTCAATCACTACTTGATCCTATTGTGCAAACACATTCTGCACCGCAAAAGAGATTTTCTGGTGCCTCTTGGCCTAACAACTGTTTTCCCATATTTTATTATAAGACAGCACTTTATTGTGTCTGGTGAAAAATAACATTACATCCCATCTCCAATTACTTGTTGAATCCTTGTAAAAATTATGTAAAATCAATTAACATTAATTCATTAATTACTTATAATGTCAGTCCATCTTCTTTAACCCAGTTCCAACCCCTCATTATCAGAAGTAATTTATTTCTGGTGAGGGCTGTGACAAGCCAGAAATCCAGGGTGCAAGGCAAGTCCACACCCTGTATGGATTCTCAGTCTATCACAGAACGCACACATGAGGATTCAGAGATTCCGATTAGCCTAGCCAGGATGTCTTTGGAAGGTTTGCATCTGGGAAAACATGGGGAAGAATATGCAAATGCAGAAGAAACACAATGTGGAATTTAACCCAGGATCCAAGAGTTGTGAAGGAGCAGTGTTGCCTTCATATTTACTTTTAATTAGGCTTTACAGTATCCACTTACCACATCAAAATGTACTATAGGAAATTATAGTAAATTGCAGTTAATTATTATTGACATTATCATCTTAGAAATCTTATAATTTATTAAATACTACATGAGAATACAGAATCACTAAATGTTCATTTACATGCAATTGCATATCAACTTAGTATTAATTTAACTATATAAATGGTAAAATGTAATTAAAATGTATACCATGTTAGATATCACTGTTGGTAAAAAAGGCAGTGGTCGTGGAATAATAAATAACCTCTCTTTTCTTCCTCTTTATAAATCTAGATTTGCTAATAGCCATGTACAGAATCTGCTTCATCCTTGTTGATATAGGGTATAGCCTTTACAATGCTGTGCCATTTATTGTAACAAACATCAATTTTCTCTTTTCAGAAATGCCTCTTTCTGCCTGCTTAAACAAAACTTCAGACATAAACAGACATAAACAGCATAGCCACACAGTACTGAATGGAATATAATAATACTGGGGTATGAAAATGAACTGCAAATAATTCTAATTGGCTCAGCTAATTATTTTGATTCAAAGTACGTAAGAATTTTTTTTAATTCATCCACATGTGATTCAGGGAAAAATAGGAATCAACTTATCAAGTTATTTCATAACATCCCTGTTACCAAAGAGTCGTGAAAATGTTTTATGAGTAGAAAACAAAAATTCCTCATATACAGTACACAGATTTAAGCCACTGTCTGCAGCCTTGTTTTATCTGTCATTGCTTCGGGCTGCTAACTAGAGCCTGTCTTTTGTGATTTCCCAAGGTCAGCATACACACATGGGTAAAGAAAAGGCTTTCTTTACAATTTGATTTCAAAAGCATTTCTCCAAAGTCCTCATTAGAATAAATCCATTTTCATTCGTGGCTTTTTCAGACAATTAACTAGCTTTCTAAACCTCATCAGTCAGGGAGTCAACCAGTGGCACCCAGGAGGTATTTAAAAAAAAATCTTTTATATTCTCCCACTCTCGCTCTAAAAAAACTAGAACCATTTATCTTCTTCACGTGCACTAGCTGACACTCAGCCTGACAAGAAGGCCCTGACTTCCTAACATTGGGCAAGGGAAATGTTTTATGCAGCAAAGGGATTCATCCGCTGCTGTGTTGAACTTGTGGGAAACTATGCAGCTGGAGATACCATCACTGACAAGCCTCAGTTTGCAAGAGCACAACCACAACTATGGCAGGCACTCATTTAGGCACTCAAATGACAGGCTTCATCAGACAAAACGCACCAAGACATTTTAAAGTTATCTCTCATAGATTTCCTGAATATCCTGTTCTTTGCAGTACATATACAGTACAGTATGGATGCACAATGTACATGTAACTAACTTGGCACCCAATATTTCATAATTTACTTTCCAATAATGGTTTGTATTATTACATAGATGTATTAAAACACTTTGGAAAGCTAAACTTTGCAGGCTGGGGAGTTTACATTGTCTTCTTGCTTTTAAATATGATTAGTCAGAGTATTTACCAAGAAATAAAGGTGCAAACCAAGATATTACTTTTGTTTTCTATACATTTCAATACCTCATTATGAAAATAAAAGTTTGAATTCACAGAGCCAAACATCAAAAACTGACACAAATTTAATCCCTATTCAAATCGGAAAGGTTTAGTATTAAATACAATTGGAGTTCCACTTTTCTTCTTTAAAGTTCATGGAATGACTAATAGGGACCAAGAACCACAGAAGATATTGATCTAAACAACAACTTAACTGACAATAAGTACGTCACTGATGTCTGCTGTTATTCCCTTGAATAGGCT